GCCCCGCCCTCGCCCTGCCTTGTCGCTGCGCGCTGGACGGACGCGATCGGCGACGGCCGCGGGCTGGGCGCAGGCGCAGGCACGGGCGCGGGCGCGGGGCCGTGCCAGGGCCCCTTCCACTTGTTTTTTCGCCTCTTTTGCAATCCTTACGCGACGCCCCAGCCCCCCTTGCATCCCTGGCCGCGCCTCTTTCTACCATAGGCTTCTGCCGACTCCCCTTGCACAACGCCGGCCGCGCCACCCCTCATCCCACCGGAGCCGCGCGCACGCCTGCACGCGCGCGCCCCTGTCGGCGCGCCCTGCTGCCGGGCCCGTCCCCTCTCTTTCGACCCCCCCTCGCCCCAAAGGGCCCCCCTGCCGGCGGACGGCCGCCCAGATTGGCGCCGGCCCCGGCGGCCGCCCGCCGCGGCGGTGTAGACCCGCAGTTTGGCCGCGGGATGGGCACCGTGCACAAATGCCTGCCCGGGTGCCGACGCACTCCGCCCTGGGCGTTTGGCTGCCCCGGGGAAGCCCCCCGGCTTCACCTGCTGCCGCCGGTGTCCTCTCAACAGACCGCCGCGGAAGCTTCCTGCGGCCGCGGCGCGCCGCGTGCGGGGCGCGCCAGGCATTTTGCTGCGGCAGTTTGCTCGTTGCTTTTTTCGGCGCCCGATTAAGGGCGGGACGGCGCATATGAAACAAGAGCTGCCCCCTGTAAATGGCTCTCAATCGGTTCGTATGGGGAAAACCAAGCACTTGTTGAAGCTCAGGGTTAAAGGAGGGCAGGCCAAAAAAGCAGGGTTAGAGGCTGCGCATAGGAACCTTCGGTGGACATGTTATAAGATGTCATTGACAGGCAATGATCTGTCACCCCAACGTATGCCACCATATGCCACCTTGCCTCGGGCAGCGGCCGGCGTCCATTTGGCGCCCGCCCGCACGAGCCGCGTGTGGCGCGCCGTCAGCCCCGATTTGCACGGCATTGGGGGAGGGAAGGCAGCTGCACGCAGTGTCACCGGCGGTGGCGTGGGCGCAGGACGTCACACACTTGCGAGAGCTTTCACAGGGAACCAGACTCGCACAATTTCACCGGGCGCGCTGCGGCCGAGGCTTGTGCGCTGTTGATGAAGCATCCACGGTCGAAGAAGGGGGAGGCATCCCTCGGCGCCGCCCCAGCGTAAGCGGCGGCGGGGCCGCGGCTTGACCGACCAAAGAAGATCGGCTGCTGCGGATGCAGCACGCGCGGCAGTGCATGTGCGGGCGCGGGAGCCGAGTGACGCAGGGCCTTGCAGGGGCGGCACGCCGCGGCGCCCCGCAGCTGGCAGGGCGGCTGTTCCCCGGGAGGCTGCTGCTGCTAGCTGGGCTTGAGGGGGCAGTGCTTCCTTAAGCCCCGCGTGCAGGGGGCCGCGTGGGACTTTGTCAGGCTGGCCTATGCCAGCTCCGCCGGAAGGGCTGGCCGACAGCCACCTAGCCTGGGTGGCTGAGCGCGACTGTTTGGTAGGTGCCCAGGCGAGCAGCAGCGGCTGCTCACCTGGGCAACCCCGCCTGTTCTCGCGCGGCTGTCTGCGTGACGCGGCCGCACTGCTGCAGCCCCACTTGTTTGCGTGCGGGCGCGGCTGTGCAGGATCCGCGTCGTCGCCGCCCGGCTGAGTTGCGCGCATTGATCGACGCTTGGGCTGGGCACGCGATCCAGTTCAGCATTATCGACCACAGCATGACCCCAGGACGGAGCCTGGCTGCTGGCTCTACAATCGCCGCTTGATGATGGTTAAGGATAGCCATGAAAGCCAAGCCCGGCCTGATCAAGGGGCTGCTGGTGCGGGGCGTGGCGCCGCGCCCGCGATCATTTTGGCGGCAAAACGCTTGGAACGGTTGCCACAGCTGAGGGGCCCCCGCGCCTGTTCCAACGGATCGCGGGCGCTGCTCGCTGTCGCACGCGTCCCTGCCGGGCGGCCGGCCCGCGCGAGGGCGGAAGGCGGCGCCAGCGGGCGTCGGCGTTTGTGAGCACGTGTGCACCGCGGCGCGTGAGAGGATGGGCGCTCCGCGGAGGCGAGGACCGGTTACGGGCCAGCAACTGGCGCAGCAGGCGGGCCGTTGCGACAGGGGTGTGCGGCCACAAAACGAGCGCCGTGGAAGCAGCTACCATTGGATTGTTTTGAGCCCTGAACCCTTGCTGCTAGAAAGTCTGTAGTGTGGCATGGCACGACGTGGTGTTACTTAGCGATCAGGTCGACTCCCAAGCCTCCAAGAGGTCCCCGGCCCCTCCGTCGCCGCCCACCGCGGTGCCCGCCGCCCCCTCGGCTTCCAGCGCCGCCCCGGAAGCCGTGCGCTCCGTCGTGCGGCGCAGAGCCGTCGGTGGCTTTCGCCGGCAGAGACGCTATCCAAGTAGGCCCACAGGGCGAGGACGGATGGTGCTGAGAAACCCTGGGGGGGTGGGGGAGCGCTTCGTTGCGGGCCCTCTTACTGAGCTTGGCCTGGATGGCGCCGACGACCTCGGCGCAGCTTGCGGCGTCGACGGCCACCCTGCTGAGCAGGGCCCGCACCAGTTCCTTCCACTTGCCGTGTGCGCTCGCGTCGTCAAACGGCGGGGTGGCGGCGGACACAATTCTGGCAGCCTGGACGGGCGCCGAGGCCCATCGGCGGCAGCGAGGGCGTTGGTGCAAGCGCGGCGCCCCTGCTGCCGCGTAGGTAGGCCGGGCGGCCCCGGGCTGGCGGCCGCACCGCAGGGAGGCGCGCGCCAGTAACTGGGCTCGCAGGCTGTCGCTTATGCGCCCCCCAAACGCGCGCCATGGAGGCAGCCACCATCTCTCAAGATGGTTTTGAACCCTGAACCCTAGCTGCTGACAAGTGTGTGGTACGGCGTGACACCAGGCATGGCGTTACACATCGATCAGACCGACTCCCAAGCCTCCATGAGACCCCCGCCCTCGCCGCCGCCGCGCCCGGCCGCGCCGCGCGCGGCCGCCCCCTCGGCTCCCAGCGCCGCCTCGGCCGCCGCCCGCAGCCCCTCCGGCCCCTCCACGCTGGCCGCCTCCAGCGCGGCCAGCACCTCCCGCGCCGCGCGCGGCGGCAGCGCGGCGCCGCCGCCGCCGCTGCCGCCAACGCCGGCCGCGGCCACTTGCAGCAGTTGGTCCACCAGCCCCGGCCCGCGGCCCGCCAGCAAGCCGTGCTGCACCGCGCGCGCGAACGCGAGCGCCAGCCCCGCCGCCGCCTCCGGCCCGACCGCGCCGCCGGGCGCTAGCCGCCGCGCAACGTCGTCGGCCGCAGAGAGGATCAGGGAGCGCACCGCTTCGTCCGCCAACAGCTCCCCCCTGCTGCACAGCGCGCCCAGCAGCATGGGAAGCTTCCGGGGCTTGAGGGAGCCGAGGCGCGGCGCGGCGGCGGCGGCGACCGCGGCGGCCGCCGGCGGGCGGAGGCGCTTGAGGGTCGCCAGGCGGGCGGCCAGGTCGATGGGACCCTCCAAGTCGCGCCCTGGGTTGGGCGCCGCCGCCGCCGCCTGCTGCTGCTGCTGCCGCCGCCTGCGCGCTTCCGCGCCCCGCCGCCGCCCCTGCCGCGCCGGAGCTGCCGCCGCAGCAGGCGCCGCCCCGTCCGCAGCCGCCGCCCCGTCCGCCGCGGAGAGCGACGCGCACTGCTGCCGCAGCCGCTCCCCCGCCGCCTCCGCCAGCTTGTCGTGGATGACGTCAGCGGCGTGGAAGCTGCCGAGCAGCTTCTGCAGCCGCGGCAGGGTGTACAGCTCCGGGCGCGAGGCCGCGTGGTCCCCCAGCCGCTGGAATAGGTAAAGCG